AGTTGGTAAAGTATTTGCTCCACAAGGAGGACCTAAGTTAGGGTCCTCAGCACCCATGTAAAAAAGCCAGGAATGGTGAGTGATACATGCCTTGCTTTGGGGTACAGAGACAGGAGGATCCCTGGACCTTGTTGGCCAGGTAACCTAGCAAATCAGTAAGCTCTAGGTTCAGTGAAACTCTGTCTCAAAAAATAAGGTGGAGAGTGACAGAGGATGACACTTGCCAATGATCTCTGGCCTCCACAAGCCATGTATGTGTGCGTACACACACACACACACACACACACACACACACACACACAAATAGAAATGGTCTATTTCAATTCCTGCCTCATGAAAACCAAGATGAGAAGGTATGTGACATGCTCATGACATGGTTAACAAGAGAATTCAATCCGTCTCCTAGCTCTTAACAAAGAAAGATATTTGGTTAATGACAAGAGCTTGGGTGAAGAAGAAAATAGGTTCAAATTAGTAGACATATTTTACAAATTGGATGTTACATCTTGTAATGTACCATCTTGCTCCTGAAAACTGTTACCTGTTGAGCCTCTTCATTTCCAGATCAAGTAGAAAGAGACAAGATTTTGGTTTGGAAACTGTCTGGGGAGTACTGGCCTTTGTATTTCCAGGGCAGTTAAAGTCCATTATTAATCATTTCCCTCAGTTTACAACCTGCTAGTAAGGTTCTGTCATAGCATGTCACTGGATTAAATAAGAGAATTAGAATAATCTTCTCTTACAGTTCACTTTGAACTGTAACTAAAACATCGCTTCCATATAATACACATTTTTGATATGCTATAAGTATTCCCCCTACTTAATTTCATTTTGGGAAAGGGGACACAGGAAGTAAACAAAAGAGAGAAAGGTGTTTTGGAAGATCTTCCAAACCTATAAACAGGCTAAAAAGTGCAGTGTGGATACAGGATAAAGAGCCCATTTCCTAGTGACAACACCATGGACATATTGTGAACACAACTTCTTAAAAAATGAGCAAGGAGGACAGGCAATAAACCTTACCATTAAAAATACTGTTGAAAAAGCCAGATATGGTGGTGCATGTCTTTGATCCCCACACTCTAGAGGCAGAAGCAGGCAGGTCACTGTGATAAACAGATCAGCCTGGTCTACAAAGCCAGTTCTAAGCAGCCAGGGATACAACGAGACCTTGTCTCAAAACAACAGTGAAGAAAAAAGAAACAAAAAAAACCAATGCAACATTCTGAATATCTCCACCATCTACAATTGAAGGACCATTCATTCATATTATCTCAGAAGATTCAAACATTTAAAACAAGCTATTCAGGGCTGGAAAATATAAAAGTGTTTGCTCTTGAGTTCAGTTCTCAGCACCCATACCTGGAAGCTTACAACTGCCTTTAACTCCAGCTCCAGGGGATCTGATGTCCTTTTCAGACTTCCATAGGCACCTACACACATGTGACATCCACTCACACAGACATATACTTATAAATAAAAATAAAACAAATAATTAACTAAAAAAACATGTTCTAAGCTGGTTTGGTAGAGTATACCTTTAGTCCCAGTACACAGGAGGCAGAGGTAGGGGGATCTCTGTTGAGATTGAGACCAGAGTGGTCTACATAGCAAGTTCCAGGCCAGCTGAGGCTACAGGGAGACCCTGTCTCAAAAAAAAAAAAAGAACAACAACAACAAAAATACATTCTAGCTAGGCACGGTGGTACATGCCTATCTAGTACTCAGGAAGTTGAGACAGGAGGATTGCAGGTTTAACACCAGCCTAACTACATAGTGAGACCCTGTCTCAACAACAACAAAGCATGTGTTATGTTCCTATAATGTGCTGGACATTTTCCCAAGTTCTAGGACTATAGGAGTAAATAAATTCCCTGGAATTTATGTTCTCACAGAGAGAAACAAAGTAAGTAAATGGCTTAGATTTTTGAAAGACATTAACAGGTGCTTATGCAATGATAAATAGTATAGAAAAAATTTATAAAGTAAGGAGATAAGGGGCTGGGGGAGTGTAGCCTGGTTGGCAGAGTGCTTGCCTAGCATGCAAGAAGCCCTTGGTTCAATCCCCAGCATCACATAAACCAGAAGTAGTTGCACGTGTATCAAAGGCTCAAGGTCATCCTCGACTACACAGTAAATTTGTGGCCAGCCTGGTATACACGAGACTTTATCTCTCCAAAAATCAAAACAAAACAAGGGATGAAAATAATTCATCTGTATATAGATCGCATAAAAATTCCATTTTATAAGATAGAGAATAGTACTTTACATGTTTAAGGTTTGTTTTGTTTTGGGTTGCTTTGGTATTAAGTTTTTTATTTTACTGTTTTTTTGAGACAGAGTCTCCCAGTAGCCCCAGCAAGACCAGACTGGACTCAATCTCCTCCTGCCTCTGCCTTCCAAGTGCTGGGATTAAAGGCATGGGCCACCATGCCCCTCCTTAGGCATTTGTTATTGAGATAAGGTCTCACTGGGCTCAAGAGATCTCTTTTGTTTCAGATGGTTAGGCAGGGTTTCACTCTGTAGCCTGGACTGTCTTGGAACTCATTATGCAGCCTACGCAAGCCTCAAACTCCTTGCAAACTTCCTGTTTCAGTCTTCCTAATAGTTGGAACTATAGCTACATGCAGTCATGCCTGACTAACAGAAATTTTAATTTAGTACATCTCCACTCAGAGTACTTTTTTTTGGCGGGGGGGGGGGGGGTGTTGGGAACGGGTCTTATTATGTAGTCCAGCTGGCCTAGAACTTGCTATGTAGACCATCCGGGGCTGGCCTCGATCTCATAGAGATCTGCCTGCCTCTGCCTCCCAAGTGCTGGGATTAAAGGTAGGTACCACTATGCCAGAATACATTGAGTCATTACATTTGTCACTTATTTGCTGATTTGTTCTAAATTAAAATACGCTCTTTAATGAATCAACACCAAGCCTTTTTGGCTAAATACAAAGCATTTTTATATAAAAACTTTTATGAAATGATTTTTGAGGAAGAAAAGAAAATCAGTGTATCTTGAAGATAAAATAATAATTAGGAATAGTGGGTGGTTGAGGCAGGACTGCCTTGATCAAATCCAAGGTCAGCCCCTGGACATCATAGAAGTACTAAAAAAATAATATAATAAAGGGAAACTATACTAAATTGTGGTTCCTAACAGTAAACCAAGGATATATAGGTGGTAGTAATTTCTCGTTAAGAAAACAACATCAGGAGACAGAGGCAGGTGGATTTCTGTGAGTTTGAGGCCAACCTGCTCTCCAGAGCGAATCCAAGTCAGCTGTGACTACAGAGACCCTGTCTCAAAAAAACCAAAAAAGAAAAAGAAAACAACATAATGGCCAGTTGTGGTGGTGTATACCTATAATCCCAGAATTTAGGAGGCAGAGGCCAAGGCAGGTATATCTCTGTGAGTTCAAAGCCAGTCTGGACTATATAATGAGTTTCAGGCATTTTAGGCAGCCAGGACTGCATAGTGAGACTCTGTCTCAAAAAAAAAAAAAAAAAAAAAAAAGGAAAGAAAAGAAAAAAAAGAAAGGAGGTCAAGAGGGAAAAAAAAGAACAGAAGAAACTAGAAAGACGGCTTAGTGGTAAGAATCCATGGGTTCAGTCTCCAGCACCCACATTGGGCAACACAAAATTGCCTATAACTCTAGTTCCAAGGGGATTCAACACCCTCTTCTGGCCTCTGCAGGCATTGAACTCAGGTGGTGCACTTACATACATGCCGGCAAAACACTCTCGTACACACAAAATAAAAATAAATTAGTCAAAAAATTTTAAAAGAAAAAAACAAACAAAAAAACAAAACCCAATATACACCAGGCCTGATGGCATATACCTGTAATCTCAGCTACTTGGGAGACTAAGACAAGGGGATCATAAGTTCAAGGCCAGTTTGGGCTATAGAGTAAGTTCAAAGCTAGCCTGGGTGTTTAGTAAGGCTCCGTCTCAAAATAAAAAGTAAAAAAGGCTAGGGATACATCTCAGTACAAGACTGCTTGCCTAGCATACCCTGAGTTGAGGAGTAGCAAGCTTACTCAGTGGGTAGAAGTGCTTGCAACACAAGCCTGACAACTCAAACTTAATTTCTAGAACCCACAGTGGAAGAAATGAATTCCCTTAAAGTTGTCCTCTGATCTCCATAAGTGTGCTCCCCCTGCTACTAACAAAAATAATAAAAATAAAGTTAAAACCTCTGGATATGGGGCCCTAAAAGCAGTACTTAAAAGTTATTAAAAAAAAAAAAAAAGTCACCTCACCCCAAATTCATAGTATATAGACTAAATAAAACGGAAAGAAATTCTTGTCATTATTATACCAACCAAGATGTTAACAATATTTGGTTTTGTTTTCATACATAACTTGAAATTGACTGGTAAAAGAACATCCCTTGGAAGAGGTCATCTCCAATTAAAAAAAAGAGACACATCAACTTTTCAAACTAAAATGTATATAAACTATTGTGTTTTGGGGGTTTTTGTTTTGTTTTGTTTTGTTTTTAGTCATTTTGAGACAGGGTCTCCCTATAGCCCCAGCGGACCTAGAACTCACTATGTAGACCAGACTGGCCTTGAACTCATAGAGGTCTGCCTCCCTCTGCCTCTCAAGTGCTGGGATCAAAGGTGTGCACCACCATGCCCAGTTATGAACTATTGTATTTTAAAATTTTTTACATTTTATTCTCTTTCTCTTCTTTCTTTCTTTCTCCTTCCTTCCTTCCCTCCCTCCCTCCCTCCTTCCTTCCTTCCTTTCTTTGTATATGTAGAACAGAGGACAATCTGCAGAAGTTGGTTCTCTTCTTCTACCATGTGGGTCCCTGGAATCAAACTAGATCCAGGGGGTTGGTAGCCAGCACCTTTACCCATATACCTATCAACAGTCCTAAACTATAACACTTTATTATGCTTTGGCTTTCTATTACTTCTATTTGGATAAGAAACCTTATAAAATGTAAACTGAAAAAAAAAGTAAATTATCAATTTCAACAAAATAAAGCTTACCTTTAGGCTGGTATGAGAACGTGGTTGACTTAATTCCTGAAATTTCCATTGCTCTGATCCTGGAGTCTCACCTCCTTTCTGAGTGTCAGGAGTAAGCAATCCATCTCCAGCAGGTAATGGGAAAATCCCTAATGATATAGGGCGTTCTTTTCTATTTGGAGGAGGAAGGAAAAACATTAAATATTAATTTATTTTTAGTTTTTGTCATGATTCTATATTATAAGCCTGGACTGTGAACAGGCCTATAATCCCAGTTACTTGGGAAGATGAAGCAGGAGGATCACAAGGTTAAGGCCTACCTAAACTACAGAAAGCTTGGTGTCATTATTTTAGGATCTATTCCCTTAAATAATACTGTATGTCTATCTGAATAAGTGAACATGCCAAATAAAAAGGACATTCTAAGAAGTTCAAATTAGCCCCAGAAATTAGCTAAGAAAAATGATCAAAGACTGTTTAGGAAACATTTTTGGCTGATTGGTTTGGGTTGTTTTGAGACCAGGTCTCATTCACTACTTAGCCTAGGCTGGCCCTGAACTGGAGATCCTCCTGTTTTAGAGTTGCTAGGATTACAATCCCACACCAGCACACCTGGCAGGAAATTTTATAAACTACTGCTTTGACTAGGAAGCAGTTGGTGGTCTGGTCTGGTGCTACATGCAGAAGAGTATGTATCATAGGAAACAGGCGATGGCAACCTTCCCAAGCCCTCTCTTAGTCTTCCCATATCCTCAGGTTACAGTTTCTGGATGTTTTAAGTTAGGCTTTTTCTACCTAGAGAAAAATCAATATACTCTTTGAAACAGGGATACCAATTAACTGGTAAAAAGTTTTTATTCCCCTGAAATTATGAAGGCGCTGGTTTTTTTGTTGTTTTGGTGCTGAGCCTCACATTTGATAGGCAGTGTGCTATCACAGAGCTGTATCCCCAGGCCAAACTCTGTTTTTCTATGGATCATATTCTATCAGTTACTTTAGGCACAGTACATATGAGAAAACTATCACAAGTTTTTTCCTAATAAGAAGCCCAAAATATTCTGAAACCAAAGCTTTATGGGAAATTTCAATCAATAAAAGTTACAATTTTGTTAACAAGAGAATTTTTAACAGAAACAAATAGCTTTGTGGATGTATAGATTAGAAATGAAAGGACTTTTAGAAAGCACTTTAGAAGGTATGAAAGAAAGGAGAGA